TAGTAAGTCTTTTAAAGATATTGACCATACTTACTGTCTCGTGTATCAACAAATGTATGAGCATGAATGCATACATATGTATCATTCATACATACACACAAAATTATACATACTTATCTAAGCAAAAAGATGCAGAGCGTATTTTCTCCATTACAAACCTTTAAAGAGGAACAAATATCAGGAAAATTTGTCTCAAAAGAAAGTAAAAAATAGTGTTCTCATTAGATAAACAGAATTTCTTAACTGCATTTCCTCTTTTATACATAAAACGTATACATTTAGATAATACAATCCCTTCATGAGGAGAAAAAGAAGTTGCTTTTCATATTCCAGATCCCTTTCCTAAAATCCCTCCAGAAGATAGTATCCCAAACCATGCAGAAGAAATCTATGTGTTTGTGGTGATGAATTTGTAAGTAACAAAAATCAGTGCAAAAGTAAAAATCTACTGGAATTTATTCCACTTTTAAGGAAACAATTGCAAATTCAAAATGTCCTCTACAGAAGAAACTGTGCAGTCTGTGTCATAAATGTCCTCTTTAGATATAGATATTATTGTGAGCTTCGTTGGTCGTTAGTAACTTCTTCAAAATCTTTGTGCTTTCAGATACATCCTAGGGAAAGGAAGAGATGACAAGCATTAGCTACATTGGCTTTAACAAACAAAACCAAAAAAAGCCTCACTGTCCTCTATTCCAATTTTTATTGCTCTGCGTATCAGTTTGATTAAAATGTTAACTGTGAGCAAAACTCAGGCCTTCCAAATGAGAGACCGGCTAAAGGCTCCAAAGAAATTTGCATCTCAACCATAAAATGGGATTTGTTAATCTGCATTCCTCCTTGTCTGTATATGAGAGGAAGAGCCTCCATGTTTGCTGTTGTTTTCCTACAGAGTTTAAACACTTACGTACTGGTCTGTTAAGATTTATTTAGCTGTACAAGACCAGCAAAAGCTGTAACGAAAACTAATTTGCAATTCCCACATTTAAAGCTGAAATAAACACTTCAGTACACACAAACCTCTTCTGTCATTTAAATACAAGTTCAACTGGCAAAACTGAGGAGAGTGTTTTGAACCAACTATACTTCAACTAAAAACATTTCAGAAAGAAGCGAAACATTCACTGTAGTAGCTATAACACCATGATTTCTCAGCTGCTTGATCAGTGCAAAACTATTAAGAATCATCTTAAAGACTCAGTCTTTTAATTTCAGAAAGAAGTTGCAGGTCAAAACAGGTTTCTTAAGAAGCTTTCACATATGGCACAAGACAGAGATAGAACAGAGCCATCTTGCATATGAATACAAGAAAATAATACATATTCTTAAAGGTTTTAACACGACACACCTCCGAAGTAAAATGCAGCTTCAACAACGACAGGAAATCCCGCCCTGATACACCAGTACCACTACAAGAGCTTGGAAAGTCAAAACGAAGTTTTGCAGGAAGCTACAGATTCATGATTTCTAATCAACTTATAAAGAGATGTCGCAGCAGGTATTGTAGCAGAAATCATTGTCCTCTGTCATTAAAGTCTGTATCATTCTATAAATTATACACATCAGCCTTTTCAGGTGGAATCTCACAGGGGCAAGCCAAGAGCAGAATGCAAGAGATGAATGACAGACCAAAATAGACCAAACTTCCCATTAATTTTTAAATATTAATGTTTACCTTGACTAAACTTTTCAGAGTTCTAGAAGAAAGCAGAGGCTTGAAGGCTTCAACTGTAACTGTGTCCAGTTTGATGACATCAGTGTAACACAGATACAGCACTGCAGGAATCTGCCATACTTGACAATAACTCAAAACTAAATACAAGTTAAAAGAAAATGTGTGTTATGTTCAGTAGAGAAGGAATCTCACTTCTATGTATAAAATCACAGTTGTTCTGGCCAGAACTTCAAAAAACATGAAAGTTAATTTATAAAATACTTAGGATCCTGACTATTAGACCATTTATCAGGTACTCAAAAACATAAACCACCAAAAATTAGTAAAATGAAGTTGGTGTTTCTTTCTGGCAAATAACTTAACTGGAAATGGTATATTATTGGTAAAAAAAAAGTAATAAGAGCTTCTGTAAAAAAACCCAACAAAACCAAAACCAAACCAACCATAAAAACTCAAAAGAAACTGCAAACAAGATAGACTTTTCAAAGAAAAAACCATCCACTTTTAGCTCCTGCTAGATAAGTTTTTCCTCATAATGCTACCACTAATTTGGTACTCTGTAATGAGAAGACTCAGAGTTGTACCACATTACAGAATAAATCTGAACCCATATTTTAGATGAGGTCAGTCAGTAGTGCAGTGAAACCTACTTTACTTGTAATATGCAAAAAGGACTTTATTAGCCTCAGGTTGGATGCTCAGATGAAAAGAACTCTTAATAAAACTTATTTAGTTCATAAGTAAAATGCTCAAAAACCCCAATGTACAGTTCAATCTGTGAGGCTATACTGAAGAATTTGCTCGTACTTACACCCCACACTTAAGGAGTAAAAGGATTTTGGGATGTTTTTGGAATTCGTCCATATTTTACAAGGCAACGTGTAAAATGTCAAACTGTTAGGAATTCATTTTCAAAGCTAACTTGTTAGCCAGTTCACACCATTAGGCAAAAATACTAACTGCAATGGCATTCTCTAAAAAGCGAATTTTGTGTTGCCACCTGCAGCCCTGTAAATAACGGGAGATGGAAAATACCAGCAGCAGGAAGATCTCGAACGATGTTAGGTTGTTCCAGCAGTGGGCAGCAGACCTGCTCTTTGAATTCTTTTGTCTTTAAGGCTTTCAGAAATGGAGATGGAAGTGTTAAAGTGGATTCCTGAGTTTTATAATCAGCTACAGGACACGTTGAAAGAATAGTTACTTGCAAATTCTTCTTTTGCATACAGCCAAAGACCTGAAATAAAAATGTAAACATATAAATAAAACTCACTGTCTCTAAGTAACACGGTAAAAACACAATGAAATTAATTCAATTGATTCAATTTCAGTGCAGATGACACACTGCAATTTAATTCAGGTTTGCAGGATTAAAATTTTAATCACAACCTCCAGGCAGAAATTTCACATGCACTGCTCCTGAGATGAAGATAACAAAACCTGAAGAACAGCTAACAATTCTACTGATTTTCTTGAGAGGCTTTAGGTTTTCAGCACCTGCTATTCACCTCCAAATATACAGACTTACTATTTTCACTAATGGTGACTGTAGAAAAGAAAAAGGACTCCAAATAAAACCAGGCTGCTTTACATATGCAAGACACTTGAAATTGAAATCATGCTCCCCAGATGGTCCACAGTACTTAAAAAGGCTCCATTTTAAATGCTCCAATTTTATTTAATTATATTCAAGTTGAATAGAGAATTGAGAGACAGACTGTAATTTTTCAAGTTTGCCTCAAACTCAAAGAGGAGAGTTTCAAAAACATTGCATCAAATATACTTTTGTATCCATTGCACGCTGTCACAAAATATCAAAATGCAGAGTGCTCCATTGTTTGTCAAGAACATATGTCAAAATGAGATGCATGGTAAACCTGCACCTTCCTTTTACACTTTCCTCTTCAGATTTATGACCAATAAGCGTACAGGGAATTGGTAAAGATTACAAAAACTCGCCTGTTTCCAAATATGGTACCAATCACAGGAGGGAAGCTGACTGCTCCCTCACACCAGCGTGTTACTGCTGTAACATAAAACTGACACAACTTTTCAGAATCACAGATACTTTCAATTTACAGTTTATTTGCTCTGTTGGAAACACTGGCTGGTGTGCGTTACTGAGAAACTTTAGTCTCTATGTTTTGATTTTGTCAGTGATCACTTACTGAGAAAACATACATAAAAGTAAAAATCCAATTCATGGAGACTGTGAAGATGCTTAGTGAATCAATTTCTGAAGCATACAGAACAGGTCTGTAACTCACATTAAAGGCAGGTTACCAGCACAACATTTCTGCTATATGTTTAAAAATAGTGATAATCGTGAAGTCTAAAAATACTGAGGAACATTGACCTGGTAAAACTCCACACTCCTACTTCATAAACACACATTTAAAATAACACATGTGCAAACAGCTGGAAAAAAGACAAATGGAGATGACAGCAACATGGCAATAATCTTTCTTTTGTAATTCCAGTTCAAATGAAGTGCAAGAATGCGTGGAATTCAGCAAAACCAAAATGGTTAAGGTCTTAGGGTTTCCAAACTCTGAAATGAACCATTACGTACCCCCCAGCAAAGCAAATGAAAACACTTCTACAAGCCAAGGAACCACAAAAGGCTACTTTTTCTACAAAATTAAGTCTGAAATGCCTGTATTGTTCAGTGAAGTTACCCATTTTCTAACCTCTTTGCCTTCCCATAATCTTTCTGCTCCCTCACTCTCACTGAGATGCTCATATGGTTCTCCCTCACAACCAAGTAATCCCTCATCATCATGAACTGGCTGGGCCAGCTGGCAGGCTAGACTGAGCAAGCCCAAAGGAAATTAGGTTAGCAGACAGACAGCAAGAACAAATAAGCCATACTTCCTTGAGGCTAAGCAGTGACCCAAGTCCACAATAAAAACCAACAGCCAAAGCCTACCCTCCTGGCTTTATCTTATTAAAATCACTATGATGATACCTGGAGGGACCTGAACTATCCAGCACTATTCATGTACATGAATGATGCTGGGGTAAGGCACTTAAGTCTATGAACAAGTGGGACACATACTGCTTTGGAGGCACCTTCCTTTAGAGTTCCTCTTTGTGAAAGGAACAGAACGCATCCATTAGTAAAGATACCATCCCCCATGAGTTTTGTAACAGGTTTGTCTGCTGATCCTTTGGCAGCCAGACATTTGCAGTTATGTAATTGTTTGTTTATGGAAGGAATTCTCCCAGAGCTGAAATGCAGCTGAAAGAAGCTAGAGAAAAAGGGCAACAAAACTGACACTGTCCAAAAGAAGGAACTGCCCAACACTGGTAAGTTACAGCAGATACAAACAACTGGCAGCATCAACAAATGAATTTCACAGAATCCACAGATAGTAAATGTCTTCATTTATTGAAAACTTAAGAGAGCCACAGGGAAAATAGTTCTTTACAAAGCTGTCATGTTTAGAAAATTAGAGAAAGAGGCATTTGCACTAAGTTGAAGATCCCCACCCCTAAGATGTCATTGCCCAATTTGCTCTCTTGCCAGTTTTACCTTATCAAGCCACTGGAACTGTTGATCCTCAGCAACATAGCAACTACACTGGCACAACAAAACCTTAAAAAAAAGAAAAAAAGTTGCATAAGCAAGTGGTTTAAAGAGCACAAAACCAGCTCATGATTACACAAAGATGATGTGACTACAGCCAATAACTTGCTCAGTTTTCCTGGGCTTCTTCAACTCTATTTCAACAAGATTTTTTTATTCACAATAGATGCGAGGCATTCAGGCTGTCACACATCTTTGTACTGAACTTCACATGTCAGACCTTCAAATAGTTTCAGTAAGCATAATGACCCTTCAGATTTTTTTATGGTATTAATCCAGAAGACTGCAGCCTTACTGTTTTGTTTGGCCAGGGGAGGGGGCAGGGAGGATGGAGGTTGCTCTCTTTTTCAGGAAGCAAAAATAGAGAGGAATTCATACATAAGTCACTTACAGTTGGGTCTGATATTAATCGGTAGAACAGACAGAAACAATCTGTTGGGATGACATTTGTTGCATTGGACGTTCGACACCATTCATTCCACAGCTTCACCACCCCAACTACTTCCCAACATACAGAATCCAGAATAAAAGATGACAGGAATGCTGCAAAATGCCAATAAATACTGTTAATTTATAAAGCACAAAATCCCTGTTCTACAAATAAATACCCAAACCTAATTACTCTTTTTGCAATCTTGAGTGAAAAAAAAATATTTAAAAAATAACATTTTTATCAACATACATATATTGACCCAATCTAGCAAAGATCAAGAACATGAATAACCTCACCATATCAAGATGCAAAAGAGCAGTTCTACATATAGAGAGCCCCAACATCAAAAACATGTATCATTAGGAATTATATCACTACAGTCAACTTTGATTCCCTTAGTATACACTAAGGATGTAGACATTAAGTCTCTTTCTTGACATACCAAACTTAACAGATTTCTAAAAATAAAAAATATCACTGAACTAGCAAGGCAGAACTATTAATACTGGCTCTAGGAAATAAAGACAACAGTACACATGACTTAGTGGCAAAGAGATTCCAAATAAATGTTCATAAATCAAATTCCCGTCAAAAGCTCCTGTTAAACATAAATAATGTCTGAAATAGCTGTAGCTATTTTTCTAGGAAAAACCCGAACAGATAAAAAATAGGTTAGCAGAGTTAGCTTTGATATGATCTAAATATCACCTAGATGTGACTTAAATGTACAGAAGATCCAAAACTTCTTTATATCGGAAAGAGCCATGTAAAAACTCACCAGCTTAGTATGTGTGTGGAAAGGGGGAGGGTGTTCAAGACTTGAGGCCTAATGAGTAAATAATCACCTTGAAAGAGGGCATTTTTGAACAAGTGAGGAATTAAAACGTGAAAAAGGCCTGATCAAGCAAAAAAAATCAGTTTGTTAGAAACTAAGGAAAATGCATCTTACTGACCAACATTTTAACTCTTTGACAAATCCCCATTTCAAAACACTAGACTGCACTGAGAAGAAACCCTGATACTACTAGAAAGAAGCTCCTGTCAATTAACAAACAATCCAGGAGAGCCTGACAAACAAAAGCCAGACAAAGGGAAGAGCCCCAGCTAAAATCCAAGTCACACTTTGCTTCTGCTCTTCCACTAAAACCGCATCGTTTCGCTGTGACCTGAGAGGAGGAACAAGCAGCTCTAACAGAGCCCCTGTCTGATCCCTGCAGAGCAGCTCTGGCCTCCTCTGCACAGCTCAGCTGCCCCAGAGCTGAAGCCCCGCTCCGTAGAGGAAGAGCTGGACAGCCCCAAGGACCACTCCAACAGCTGATACCGACGTTACAACAGCTGCGACGGGGAGCAGCGCGTCTCTGCACAACGCTGCTGGCTCTCACACGCAGCCAGGCCCGGGGGTTCCTGCCGCCCGCACACCCACCCACCCACCTGCAGCGCTGTGTCCGATCGCTACGATCAACCGAGAGCACTCCAGGGTCTGGTCGGCAGAGCCTTCCGCAGACTTCCAGCTCCAGAGCACCTCGATCTCCCTGGCAAAAGAGGCGGAGAGACATGGAGCTGCTCCCCCTTGCTCCGCTCCAGGCCCCAGCCGGGCCCGGCCCCGGCCCAGGCCGCCCCGGGGCTC